CATAATCAAATTCAACACAGAACATAAAAAGAAATTGATATTCAAAAATTACCACCCTTCAGTCAGCTGATCATGATGGAGCAGAATCACACACAATTGAAACGAGAGATGATGACACCAAAAAAAAAAAAAAGAAAAGAAAAAACACTCAGAAAACATGCAATTTTGAAACGATCAAAAGACAAAATAGACCAAAACATTCAACAAAATGGATTATTTTTCTAGGATTGGTGGATGGATCGATGAGACTGGGAATATATATCTTCGTAAGCTAGCTTGTTGGTGGAGGAGGTGGAGAAGACGGAGAATCGCATTCACCCACGCAGTCATTGTAAAACCTAGTACAGTTACTCTTGCACTGAGAACTGGTCTTAGGATCCAAACAACTCATTTGACACTCAGACTGTATCCGACCACATCCGACGATTGAACATTCGAGAAGACGTAGATCATCAAGCGGTGGAGGTGGAGGAGGAGGAGGAGAAGGAGAGGGATTGCAACCAGTCACGCAGTTATTGTAACTCGTAGTGCAAATTTTTTCGCAATCAACCTTGGTAGCAGGATTCCGACACGCCGATGGACACTCTAAACTTATCCGCTGGCATATATCTAAGCATCCGAAAGAATGGCTCTGGCCTTTTGCAGAAATTATACTGCTAGTCAATACTAGTAGCACCACCAACAAAACGGGGGTTAGTGGCTTTAGGGCCGCCATAGAAATGGTGAGATAGAGAGAAGTGATGGAGGTTTTTAATTAGGTTGAAAATGAAAAAGAAAGATGTGGGTTATTCAAGTGCACACACCTCCTTTTATAGACACATTCAGCCAACACCACCTTTAGAACCGTCCATAAAAAATAATCAACATTCAGGTAAAAATATTTTTATGGGACAAAAAGAGAGTTAATGGTATGACCTCTTCAAACCAATGGTTATTCAATGGAAACACCCCCTAATTTCTTAAAGAAATTTTAATCAATAATTTACATACACGAGGAATGTGTTATATTTATTTAACCGGAGTTAGTTCTTCTGTCCCTACAGATAGATGGGATCTTCAAACCAGTTGTTATTCAATTGAAATGTGGGACGGTTTTTTTTTTCCCCAAATTCTTAAGGAAATTTTAATTAATTTACAGAAACGAGGAATAAATTATATTTATTTAACCGCACCATTAATTTTGTTTCGTAATATTCTCGATTTGATTTGGCATTTTTTTTTTCAATTGAACATATTTATATATATATAAGACTTTTTATCTTGGTATTATAAATTTGTGCTCATCTGATTATGATATTGTAAGTTTTTTTTGTAATTATTATTTGGATTTTTATTAACAAAGTCTAAATTGGGATTTTTATTTTCTAGTTTGTATTTGGATTTTATTAACAAAATGAGTATAATAATAATGAAAAAACTTATGTTTACCTTCAGCTAGAAGGGACATTGATGAAAAAGCTAGTTAAACGTTCTTTGATTGAATCATACCTACTAGTCTCTTTCTACAAGTCAACTAAGTGGATATAAAAATCTGCTTGAAGAAAGTATGCGCTTATAAAAATAACATTCGCACAATATCATGGAATGCAAGGGGGGTCTACGATGAGGACGGAAAAACTAATAGCTTAGTGTTTCAATTAATTTTATTCAAGCATATTTTCATCATTTTAATTTAATTAATTATGGTTTATTTCTTTTATTTTTTATTTAAGACTTTAGTCGCCATGGTAAACTTTAGTTGATGATTTTATATTAAAACTGATTTACCTTTTGCCAAATTTCCTGGTTTATTTGTTAATAGAATTTTTTATGTCTTAAATTGCAGGTATTCATGTGTCGAATCAACGAAATTTAAGAAAGTTGTATTTTCGGATGTTCGCAAAATTAGCGGATCTATGATTTTTAATTACTTGTTATGTTGAAGATTGAGGCTTCCGCTTGCTACATTATTTTAGATCCCATGTCTATTTAGAATTGGCTGTAGAATCAAAAACTATTTTTCAGAATTATTTTCATTGATGAAAGATAACTACTCCCTCCCCAAAATATAATTGTCAAATTTAAATTTTCATTTGTAACATAGCTTATATGAAAAATAAATTCAAAATCAAAAATAATTTTTAAAAAATTGTTATTAAGCTTAAGGGAGTTTCAAGAGTTGAAATTCCTGAATAGAGTGTGAAATCTTTATAATTCCTATATAGGGCATGAAGTCGTTTTTAAATGATCTATTGAAGTTTTTATTGACCAGTTCATCCTTTAGTAAAATTAATTAATTAATTATTACATCCTTAGAACACAAAATAAGCTTGACATTTAGCATTGTCATCATTATCATCCTGAACTAGTAACGTATTATCATCATTTAGAATTCGTCAAAAATCTTAGCGTGTAAATGCACTAATAATACATTATGTCCATGCGGCCGAATATGTAAAGCATGGAAGAATTTTTTATTTTTTTTAGTCAATAAGAATCACTACAAGAAATTGACCCCATAGATACAACCAAATTATTGTGGTAGAAAGGGTATAAATACAATACACTGCGGAAGGAGGCACACGAATAAAATAGGACAACCAACCAAACAAGCAAAATAATTCAAGAACTGATAAAATAAAGGAGGCACACGAATTTACGTGGAAACCCAAATCGGAAAAAATCACGGGACTATAACAACAGTCAAATCTCCACTATCACAATAATAGGAAAACAGTCTTCACCAACCGGTGGATACACAGTACTTCACCCAAAGGTGGATTACAACAATATTCTTCCACACTCACCTATCACAAAGTAGGACTAGAAGGATCTAACCAAAAAAGAGAGCTAAACCGAAAACTAAACCCTAACTTTGTTTCTTTTTCTCTCGTACAAAAACAATGCACGGCTGCCCAAACTTTTCTTCTCTTCTTGGCTAAAAACACACTCCTAAAAAATTATGCCAAAGCCTTGCTTTTATAGAGCAAAAAAATGTAAAACCAAAGCAAATTTGGCTTGGTTTTATTTGTTTCCTTATTGACCCAATTGAGGGGAATACCAGACGAACACAAATCTCGTAACAAAACAGCCTTAAGTTGTCATTAGAACTCCTCTGTTACGACTTTTCATGTCGTAACAAAAGGCCCGACCCTAAAGGTTTCTTTTATTACGACTTGAAAAAGTCGTAACAAAAGCATTTCGTTGTGACGACTTCAGTTGTCGTCCTTATTTTGTGACGACTATAATCATAACAAAATCCCGCCCAAACTTGTCACAAAAAAATGTTCAAGTCGTCACAATTGAATATAATATTTATAACTTTTTCATTTTCACTGGTCTGTGACAACTAGTCTGTTGTAATAAAGGATTTAACAATGACAACATTTACGTTGACACTTGCTGTTGCTTGTGAAAACTGAAAAAAAAAATCATTTTGTGGCCATTTTAAATGATAATTTACAAAAGCTAAAACATTGGCAATGCAAAAATAAATGAAATTACACTTCATAATGATGGATAATAGCAACCCTTGCATATAAATTTGAATTCATCCGAATTAGTCATTACACAATACAATGGTAAGGAGCTCAAAGAGCCTAAATACAGCATTGAAGCTAAATGGTTCCACTAACACTATTACATTGACATACTCTAGGAGGCAAGGGAACAAACACAAGGCCAACTGCTCAAGTTTCCAGATTCCAACTAATGAAGCAAATTCATGATTCCTGTGGTAAGTATATAACAAATTAACCACCAAGAAAAATCAATAATCTTTCTTAACAGAAACAAAAATATATGCACAAAAACTTATAATAAAAAAATCAAAATTCCAAGTCCATACCACTCTATAGATCACTTATAATACAAAATCAAATTTCACAATTGCATAATACTTTGGGGACTTGAAACATATAATAACCTCAACACCGAGGGAAACACAAGTACTAGCACAATTGCACTTCAAAATATGCTATCTTTGTTTTCCTTTTCTTTTTTGTATAGAATAAAAGCAATTTAAGAAGTTGCAGCCTGTGCCAGACTTTACCAAGTATAGCTAGCCAAAAGAAAAATGGCTAAAGAACAGTAAACTTAAGAAGTTAGCTGGCTAATTAAATATGTAATCATTGTTAATTATGTTTCCAGCTAAATGACGAAGTTAAAATAGACAGCCAGTAAATTAAACACACAACCCCCCCCCCCCCAATTCACCATCGAGAGATCTTCGTCATTAATGAAGTTCTGCTCATTATGTACGGCAGTTTCTTCCATCAAAGCATTAGCACTATCATCTAAAGGTGCACGCATACCTAACAAGGATCGGTAATTCTCTGAAGTCTACATAAAAACAATATTCTGATTCTTGGTAAATCTCATTCACTAACTCTTGATCAGATTTAAAACAATAAGAATATAGCACATACCTAGCTGGTTTCCTTCATGTTTTAAGACAAAGTTAACCAAGTTGCTGTTTTCCCACCAAGCGGTCGGAATCCCTGTGGAACCCAAGTGAAGATGTTAAGGTGGATAACATATCGTTCAGAATTTTAATAAACATCAAGAGAAGTTAGTTCAGTTCCTTGTGTATAAGGCCGAAACTAGAAGGCAACAGGAAAGGACAATGATCATTAGAGTGCAAAGGACATTTTACTGACTATGAATACATAAACAAAGTTCTGAAGCAAGGGCAAAAAGAAAAAAGAAAAACAAGAAAACCAGTTTTTTTCCTCCTAAAATTTATCAAGCATCCTTTAACCTCTTTACCAACACAGTAATCCCCTCTTCCAAAACAGCTTTAGAACTCGTTCCATTACTCTCTGTAACAATGATCTAACAACGTACAAAGGCGTTGTTTAGGAAATATTCTGGTTTAGAAACTCCTCTACAACAAAACTATATGTATAAAAACTGAAAATATGGATCATAATCAATCAAGTAAAAAACCCACAGGTAGCAGCCCTTTTTGTGGCAAGCAAAATTCATACACTATTGAAAAAGGTAGGTTAGGTTTGACGTACCTCATTGATCCCTAGGTCTACCACCAAATCGTCCATAACCATGTAAGTCACTAGCTCCTTCACAAAACACCGCCTCGTTCCAGATCTACCATTTTGCTGCTTGCTAAATGCTGGAGCAACAAACTTTTTCTTGTATGACAGTGAATTACTACACTAAAGACAGAGACCAAGAGAATCATCACAGAATTATCCTCCAAATAATCGAATAATACCAATATGCACCAAGATAAATTTAAATCTCATCCGAAAGAGACTAAATATTGTAGGGAAGCTAAAAGAAACAAACCTGTATTAGCAAGGGCTTAGGGTTTTCTCAAATGGATCTTTCCTGTTATATATATAATATGCACAAAAATTCAACTACGAAATCCAACCAAATCAACTACTGAGATAGTATATTGATTAAATATGATTACATGCTCGAAATTTCACATGCTTTGTAAGTTGAAGGAAACTAATTGAAACAGAAAACTACATTGCTATAGAAATACGAAGATAACCGGATGGTACGAGAAGCATTCCAAACCATCATACAGTTGGCAAAATCACCAGGTTGTTCATGATATGCTCAAAATCATTTAAAAAAGAGATCAAAATTCTCAAAAGAGCATATATAATTTCTTTATCTCTGTTTCACCTAAACAGAGCAGTAGCAATTAATCAGCAAGCAGAGAACAATATCTTGTTTCTGTTACCTTGATAACTTGAAGTACGCTCCTTTTACAGCCGCAGCAGACAACAATGTCTTGTTTCCTTACCTTGAAAACTTTAAGTTATATCCCCGCCACCAGCTGCCTATGAACTAAAATCAAAAGCCCATATCAACACTGAACTCAATTTGCTTGCTTGCCCGTACTTGCCTAACCATTGGTTCAGCACAAATAAACAAATAAAAAAGTAAACCCATCAGCCCCTTAGCCCAGAAAACCTCCAAAACCGTTACAAAACAAAAATAGCATTAAATAAATATAGATCTTGAATTTTTTTTAAAAAAAAAACAAAAGATCTGGAAGCTATAGTAGGAGCTGGAAGCTCACATATACTACAGATCTCATACCTTGAGCTATTGAATCTTCTTGCTCTTCCGAACGCACGGGTGTTTGGAATTAATACGACCACCAAACCGATAGACCACAACTCAAAAAGATTTCTTTTCTTCATATTCTAATCAAGCGTCAGCATTTTAATGGATAATTTCTTCAAATTTCTGTCGATCTAGTAAAAAGGGGAAAATTTAAATTCAGCAACAATGGAAAAATTCAGAGAGAGATAAGGAGATAGAAGAAAAGAGGGGAGAAAGAACTTTGGAGTTCATAGATGCCCCTCCAGCCCCCAAAAAAACAAAATAAACTCTGGGTCACGCACTCTAGTCCTTTTTGGCTCCCAAAAATAAAATTGGGAAGCAAAAGGCCACGCCACTTTTTCCCTCCAGCCCCAAATACAATTTCAATTTCTCTCTCTCTTGTTTTTTTCATTTTCTCTGTTTTTCTAATTATAGTAATAAGCTAGATACTTGCCCCGAGCGAATGTCTGGGGTGCCACCTGTATTTTTAAATCGATTAAATAAAAAATAAGAATCATTCTTAAAAGAATAAAAAAAATAAAAAAATAAAAAATCGATTGAAAGGACAGGAAGTGAGTTATTACACATAAATATATGCCCAGATTTACAACATTTAATTTACAACAGTTAACTTATGCCTGAATTTACATAAATCATGAACCAATATCTACAACAGAAGAATATAAAAAAATCATCCTTAAAAAATTAAATTTCTTTCATGACTGCTTATTTTTCCTCTGTCATAGGAAGAGATAGATTGATAATTGATATCAGATTTTAAGTAATTAATTTAAAGGCCCGGGTGTGAGAGAGGAGTGGAATGAAAGAGATTCTTTGAAATTGGGGATTGGGAAGATATTACTGATGTTTTACTTGATTTAAGAGAATTTCCTTACATTTGATTTTATCAACTAAAATATTATTGTTTTAAGGGATTAGTATATACCTATAATTAAGAGATTTTTATATAGCTATAATTAAGGGATTTATGTATTTATTTATTCTATCTTTTTTTTCCGATTAGTTAGAGTGCCAAGTGTCAAAAATGATTTTGTACTGAAAATAGCTTTTGGCGGGAAAATTTTCATTGAGGTGCTGACACATGTCCTTTTTGTTTACTGCTTTAATTAAGTACTATAGATGAGACGAAGTTATTGATTAATTTTTTTACTAATTTTTTTTGTCTATGGCTGACATAGTTACTAGTTACTTTGCTAAAAAAATTATATGCATCAAAATGCATTCAATTGGACAAAATACGAAAGGATTCGAGATTGTTACATACTTAATGATGAATACAAGTACTTACCTTTATATTTTTGAAAAAATATTAAATTGTATACGAATTGATTTGATAATAATAGCGAATATAGTTAGCGATTTCCAATAAATCGTAAACTATAATTCAAAAACCAAACAACTACAGTATAAATAAAACTCTAATGTGTCTATATGGAATAACACGTCCAAGTGATAGACATATCACAATCCAAACTTAAATATAAAAAATATCACTAATTCTCAAATTAAATCCCAAATAATGAGACTCTATTATATAATTAGATCTTTGTCTATAACTTCGTGTACATATGGCACGAATAATGATACTACAAATATCGTTGACAAACCAATATTAACAAACTACAATTGGTAGACTAAAGTCCACTATAAAAGAATAAGTAAATGCTTTTTTTGAAATGAAAAACTTCTTATTCAAACAAATATAAAAAAAAAACAAAGACAAAAACAAAAATCATATTTGAAATCTCTTATAAAATGGAATAGACGTAGTATAACAAAGAACAAGCTAGCTACCTTACCCACCTTAAATAAAACTAATGTCTTGTCCTTGTGTGGATAAATTTAAAATTATAAACATCAAATGTATGTAGTTATCAAATGTCATACGTGCTAATGACTATTATTATTGCTTATCGCTAGCAGAAGTAATGTGAAATTTTATGAATTATGTAGAAAACATATTCAATTTCTCGTGTAAATATTTGGAATCATCACTAAGTTAAAAGAGTCATTTATTGTAAATTATGGGTTAAAGTAATAGTTGTAGGGTGTCATAGCATAATTAACAAAAGTGCACGGAATGAATGGGAAATTGGACATTGTTGGAGGTCATTTTTGACCATCCCGGGCCAGCCCAATCGGCCCACTAACTTGGGCTGACTTCATGGACCCAACTCGTCCATTTGGTTAATTCTTTTGGGCTCAAGTGATCCACAAAGAATTAACACATGTCTATTTACACTTTTGCCCCTCTTGACAGAGGGGTCCACAGGTATAGTCCCATTGGGGACCTATAAATACTCCCTGATTCATTTATTACATCTCCAATTTTTTCACACTCCCGCTTTCTCTCTCTAAGTGTGGTAACAAATTATCTCAAAGGACTGACTTGACCTTCGGAGTGCTAACCTCCTTTTTGCAGGTTCCAGTCTAGGTCAGGCCGTTGGCTTCGTTTCCGGGATTTACCCTCGATTAGTGGCGCCGTCTGTGGGAAAGTTCTTCTCTTTCCCGGTTGGCCGAGGGCGAATCCAGTTATGCTACGAGCAATGGTCTCTACCCGGACAAGACCCGATGAAGGGACAAGTCGCAGGCCCGGATTGAGATCGAAGGTTGTAGGAGGAAGTTCCCGCGTATCCGCCTGATCCCGTGATGAACACAGAGACAGGGGTGACACTGGAGAAGCTTCCTGCACCAACGACCGTACCATCGACCGCCAGGGCCGCTCCCGAAAGACCGGCGATCATAGGGGCGGTCGGGACCGTGGATCGGCTGAGCACCATAGGAGTCAGTCCCACCAAACCAATAAGGAGGCAGGGAGGAGCAGAGAAACCTCCAAGAGTCCTCGCCCTTCCCGTTCCCCCGAACGGGGACCTCATGATGACCGCTTCTGGAGATCCTTTGTTGGGAGATTTCCCGGGTTCGAGGAGCAGTTCAAAAAATTCGAAGACATGTATTACGGAGGTAAAGACGAGGGCCCGGATGACAGTCTCATGTTTGTAGGGGAAAGGAGAATCCCCCAGGAGTGACATCGATCCATAGAGCGCGACCCTACCCCCGCTAGGCCTGAGCCGAGGACGGACCGAGAGGGTGCGGCGGATCCCCAGCTCGAGGCCATACACAATGGTCGAGAAACGCTCAGAAGCCCTTTTGCCGAACGCATTCGATGTTGCCCGCGGCCAGCCAACTTGAAGCTCCCCATGGATATCCCGAAGTACGAAGGGGATACCTGTCCGGTCAGCTTCTTGGCCGATTACACAGCTGCCATGGACTTGCGGGACTCGCCCCGGGAGTTCTCCGCCAAGGCGCTGCCCACTTTCCTGACGGGTGCTGCCAACATATGGTTTGATAGCCTGCCCCCGGACAGTGTCACTTCTTACGCGGACCTAGGGCTGAAGCTCAACGTACGATTCTTTTCCAGCAAGAGGGCCAAGCGCACCATTCACGACTTGTCTTCGGTCCGTCAGCGCCGGAACGAGTCCCTGGGCAAGTACTACGAGAGATTCACGAAGGAACTCATGATGATAGACCAGGTCAATGATCTAGTAGTACGGGTCGAATTCGTGAATGGCCTCTCCCCTTTTGGCACGGGCGCCGCTTTACGGAGCAAGCTCACGGCAACGCCTCCCGCCACCACCCAAAGGCTATGGGAAGTAGTTGAAAAGGAGATCCGGACGGACGAGTCCATGAAGAGGGCTAGGGAGGCCTTTGCCGAAGGCGAGAAGAAGAAGCCGGAGGCGAAGAAGCTTAGCATCGGATCTCCGAAATTCGACACCAAGACCCCCGTCCTCACTCAAACCAGGAAGGAAATCCTCCAAATCCACAAGAGCGAGTTCAAGCTTCCCCCTCCAGGCCGGTCTCAGGATGAATCCTCGTCCGAATGGTGCGACTTTCACCGGAGCAAAGGGCACGATACCGAGGATTGCCATAGGCTGAAGAAGGAGATCGAGGAGGGGCTCAAGGTGGGCAAGTTCCAGGACTGCGTCCAGAAGGGGTCCCAGGAGAAGGCGTCGGGCCGAACCAGGAGCCGGAAGTGGAAGAAGGGCAAGGCCAAGGCCATTGATCGAGCCCTCGCCGGGGGTGGGCCCGCGGCTCAGGAAGGTGTTGATCCGGCGCAGGCCCGGCAGATCTTGGCCGCCCCCATAGGCGCCATCTTTGGCGCGCCCTTGGGTGTTCAGAGTGTTGCCGCGCTCCGCAGAAGTTCACGTCCTCGGCCGCCGGGGGAATCCGAGGCCAAACGCCTTCGTCCCGGGGAGGTGATATCCTTCTCGGAGCAGGATCTGGTGGGGGGCTCTGAAGATTACTCCGACGCGCTTATCATCACAGCCATAGTTACCAACAGGGAAGTTCGGCGAGTATACATAGATAATGGCAGTTCTGTGGACATCATGTACATTGATTGCTTCCAAAAGCTGGGCCTCGACAAAACTCTGCTCAGTCCCGCGTCCATACCGCTGGTCGGTTTCTCCAACCACACCATTATGCCTCTAGGCATCATCAGTCTGGCCGTCACCGTAGGGACCTATCCCAAGGATCGCGTGATCTTGGTCGACTACGCGGTCGTGGACGTCGTAGCCCCCTTTAATATCATTCTTGGGACTGTTTATTTGCCCTACCATCTGGTCATGAAGTTTCCAACCGAGGCCGGTGTTGCGGAAGTTCCGGGAGACCAGCAGCTAGCCCGGTAATGTATAGTCATCACTGCAAAGAAGGGGCGCGACTTTCTCCAGGAGAGGGCGACCGTCGGATCCATCCAGAAGGCCCTGGTCCTCGAGGAAGGGGACTCAGTTACCGACGTCCCTGTCCCTGCGGATGAAGAAGTCGCCGATGTTGCGTTGAATCCATTCGTGGAAGGGAGAGTCATTAGCCTTGGGGTGGCTTTGCCCTCTAGTCTTCGGGACATGGTGATTGAATTGTTGAAACAGTTCGAAGATGTCTTCACTTGGAGCCCCAACGACATGACGGGAATTCCCCCCGAGTTGGGTGTGCACAGGCTCAATGTCGGTCCTCGGGCCCGGCCCATACAGCAGAAGAGACGAAAGATGGCCCCCGAACGAAATGCTGCCATCGATGCGGAAGTCGCCAAGCTCTTGTCCGCGTCCATCCTCAAGGAGATCTGTTACCCTACATGGCTGGCTAATCCCGTTATGGTTAAGAAATCCGACTCTTCCTGGCGTATATGTGCGGATTACAAGGATCTCAACAAACATTGCCCGAAGGATTGCTATCCCCTTCCCGCCATTGAACAGAAGGTCGACGCTATCTCGGGGTACCCTATGCTTAGTTTCCTTGATGCGTATAAAGGGTACCACCAGATCCTTATGCACGAGGATGATGCCGAAAAGACCGCCTTCGTCACCGAGAAGGGAATGTTTTGTTACGTAAAAATGCCATTCGGACTCAAGAATGCGGGAGCCACCTACCAACGGATGGCCAACCGTATCTTCGGAAGCCAGCTCGGACGGAACATGGAGGTTTACGTGGATGACATGGTTGTGAAGAGCCGTAGGACGGACCTCGTGGTTGACGATCTCCGAGAAACCTTCCAAACCCTCCGGTCATCCAACATGAAGCTGAATCCTAAAAAGTGTGTGTTCTGCGTCGGGTCAGGAAAGTTCTTGGGCTTTCAGATTTCTCGAAGAGGAATTGACATGGACCCTACGAAGATTCGGGCCATTCTGGACATGCAAGCCCCCTGTTCCGTCAAGGAGGTACAAAGGCTTACAGGTTCGATCGCCGCCTTAGGACGGTTCCTGTCAAAGGCGGCCGAACAAAGCCTGCCCTTCTTCCAAGTCCTCAAAAAGTCAGACGCCTTCGGCTGGACTGAGGCGTGTCAAAGAGCCTTCATCGAACTTAAGGAGCACCTAAAGACTTTCCCGACCTTGAGCACGCCCGACCCGGGGGAGACTCTGATTTTGCACCTGGCCGTGGGAGACTCCAGCGTGAGTGCAGCGTTGGTGCGGGAACATAGGGGAACGCAGATTCCCGTCTACTACGTCAGTAAGGTTCTCCTACCCGCCGAGTCCCGATACACTATGGCAGAGAAGCTGATATTCTGCCTTGTGACTGCGGCCAGATTGCTGCGCCCATACTTCCAGGCACACCCTATCCTCGTTCTTACAGACCAGCCCCTACAGCAAATCCTCCGAAAGTTCGACACGTCCGGTCGGATGGCTAAATGGGCTGTGGAACTTGGAGAGCATGACATACAGTTTCGGCCTCGAACTTCAATCAAGGGTCAAGCCCTGGCCGATTTCCTTGTCGAAGTTCCCCGAGGGATAGAAGTCGCGAATGAAGAATGCCCTCAAGACGCCTCCTTGGCTCCCGCCGGATCGCAAGGGTGGACGCTGTTCGTGGACGGATCTGCATCCAGGGAAGGTTTGGGTGCGGGGGTGGTTTTGACCAACCCCCATGGGTCAAAAATTGTCTATGCCATTAAACTGGAATTCCCCACCACGAACAACGAGGCCGAGTACGAAGCGCTGATCGCTGGGCTCTCAATTGCCCGCGCCCTCGGAGTCCAGGAGGTGTCGGTCTGCAGTGAGTCTCTGGTGGTCGTCAATCATGTCCTCCAGTTGTACGAAGCTCGGGAAGCGACCCTCCAGAAATACCTTCAAAGAGTCAGGGCGCTGGAACGCGGTTTCCGCGCCTTCCACATTCGGTATATTCCGGGGTCGCAAAATAAGAAGTCTGACACCCTAAGCAAGTTGGCCTCCTCTCGCGCTGTGCGCTTGACCCAGCGTATCCACATCGAAGTCAAGACCCGCCCAAGCATTCTGGAAGACGAATCCTTGCCCGTGTTACTTGACGAAGCCTCCTGGATGGCTCCGTTCATTCAGTACCTCCGAACAGGAACATTGCCGCCAGACCCGAGGGAAGCCCGGAGGATTCGGCTCAAAGCGCCTAAGTATCTGCTCAGGGACGGGATCCTCTACAGGCAAGGGTATCTGACTCCTCTGCTGCACTGCGTTGGCCCGCGGGAGGCAGGAGCCTTGGTGCGAAGCATGCACGAGGGCGCTTGTGGGGGACACTTGGGTTCGCAGAATCTGGCTAAAAAGTTGATCCGCGCCGGTTATTACTGGCCTACTCTGGCTAGGGATTGCTACGACCTTGTCATTCGGTGTGCACAGTGCCAAAGACATGCTCCCATTCCGCGTCTCCCCCAGCACGAAATGGTCCCGATTACTAGCCCTTGGCCTTTCTACAAGTGGGGCATGGACATAATAGGACCAGTTCCCGTGGCCCCGGGCAAGCTCAAATTTGTGATTGTCGCGATCGACTACTTCTCTAAATGGGTCGAGGCAGAGCCTTTTGCCTCCACCACAGGGGAGAACGTGGCCAAATTCTTCTGGAAGAACGTAGTCTGTCGATTTGGAATCCCGAAGGTCCTCGTCTCGGACAACGGGACCCAGTTTGAATCAAAGATCTTGTCATCCTGGTGCGAACAGCTGGGGATCGAACAACGGTTCTCGTCCGCGGCTCATCCTCAGGCCAACGGGTTGGCTGAAAACATAAACAAGGCCATCCTCCAAGGCATGAAGAAGCGACTTAAGAAAGCCGAGGGGCTGTGGCCCGAGGAGCTGGCACACGTCCTCTGGTCTATACGCACTACCATGAGGACGGCAACAGGGGCGACCCCTTTTAGCCTTGTTTACGGTATGGAGGCCGTCCTTCCAGCTGAGATTGAGGTTCCCAGCCCCCGTGTGGTCAACTTTGCAGAAGAAATGAACGAAGGCGAAGTCCGCTTGTGCCTCGATTTCCTGGACGAGCGTCAGGATCTGGCCAAGGCCCGCGAAGCCCGATACAAAAAGATCGTGTCCAAGAACTACAATGCCAGGGTTCGGGCTCGGGACTTCGATGTCGGAGACCTTGTCCTTCGCCGAAATGAGCTAGGCCACGCCGAACCAACCGTTAAGCTGGCTCCGAACTGGGAGGGACCGTACCAGGTCGTGGAAGTTTCTCCCTCGGGAAGTTATCGTCTGCGCACGTGCGATGATGAGCCCCGTGCCATACCCCGATGGTGGAACATCCAGAATCTGAAGAAGTTCAATGCTTAAAAAGGCCCCTGCCCTCTTTTGTAATAGATATCAGCATAGGAAAGTTTCGACACTTTTGGCGAATATATAAAAGAACCTCCTGTGCTTTCCTACCAGCGCCATTTACAAGGCCGTCTCGACTCCAGTGGTCGACGGCACCGCGTGGCCTCCGCGGCCTGCGGAACCCCGACGGTCCCCGCGACCTTTGGGCATTTACAAGGCTGTCTCGACCCCAGTGGAAGACGGCACCGCGTGGACTCCGCGGCCTGCGGAACCCCGACGGTTCCCGCGACCTTAGGGCATTTACAAGGCCGTCTCGACCCCAGTGGCCGACAGCGCCGCGTGGCCTCCGCGGCCTGCAGAACCCCGACGGTCCCCGCGACCTTGGGGCATTCACAAGGCCGTCTCGACCCCAGTGGCTGACGGCACCGCGTGGCCTCCGCGGCCTGCGGAACCCCGACGGTCCCCGCGACCTTGGGGCATTTACAAGGCCGTCTCGACCCCAGTGGCCGACGGCACCGCGTGGCCTCCGCGGCCTGCAGAACCCCGACGGTCCCCGCGACCTTCCCTCAAGGTAAGACTCAATTGAACACCTATCGACCATCATAACAACAATACGGTCGAAATATGAAATCCGGGGGAAGATACTCCTATCGCTATCGCCTCCGTCAAACGATAGCAACATGCCGGCAATAAAAAGAATTTCATATGCACAACCGTAAAAACATGAGTAACAATAACAAAACAAGTGAACAAAACAAATGATGTATTCAGGGTCAATGGTCAAAAAAGGGAGCTCAAAATTTCTTAAAAATTTTCATGTACACAGCCCTCAAACCTATGCACTCGACAAAAATACAGGGATAACTTAACCTAATCACGTGTTAACGAGACCCTTGACCCAACTCGAAGAACAAAGCGTCATTCTCGTATATCATGCGTTCGGCCTCACGAGTCGGAGAAGTGGGCTCGTCTCTCATAGCTGGACAGGGTTCGGGCCACAATGCTGCGAAGTCATATTCCTTTCCCGTCTCCACAATGAAGGATATCGCGCTCTCTAACGCCGTCCGAAGCTGTCCAGCATATGCCCGAAGAGCCTCGATCTTATCAGAGGAACGATCCCACTTTACGGCGACCAGGGCGTAAGCCTTTCGGAGGTGTACCAGCACGCTCTCAAAGTAGTTACGGGGGATAAAATCTTCCGGATCGGGTTCGGCTAAACCCTCGTCCTTCTTCTTCTTCCGTATCTTGGCTTCGAACGTCCGAAGGCGGTTGTTAGCCAACATCTCTAATTGTATGGAATTCTTTAGATGGTCTTCCCAATAAGCTTCCGTATCCCGCCATAACTTATCCAACCGGTCGTTCTCGGCCTTCGCCTCGAGAACGGTCTTACGTGCCTCGTGCAACTCAGAGGCCCGGAAGGTTTGCAGAGCCTCTTCGAGTTGCCCTTCAAGACCTGATAGTCGTCCTCGACCCCTATCAACGTTCGGATCTGCCAAAGCCCCCCCTACGGCCGCGTAAAGTGGAAAGGCCGTAGGGTCGTGGTGAGGGTCGGGCAACTGCATGTCAATCCATGGGATTCCTGAAGTCTCCCAAAGACCCCGGGTCACGGGCAACCCTCGGGAGGTTCCGTCTGGGTGAGAGGGGAAGTCCGGAGCTGTGCCCTTCCCCTGTAAGGAAGCGCGTGTTAGCGACATGCCCTAAGGACGCGCATTCCCAAAGGTAGAAACAAGTTTGCACCAAGGAACAGATGCTTAAATGCAGACTAAACTAAAAATTTCCGATTAAGGTGGTTCCGTTAAAATGGACACAGTGATAAGTCTGAATGTGCGAAATAGGAGACGACGGAGAGCAAACCTAAGTTTCATTGTTTAAATAAATCAAAATTCAGATACAACGGGGGAAGCCCCGGGGACATGATTGCTGGAAATCCTAACCCTACGCGTCGTTCACCTTGTCTCCACTGCGGGCATTGGAATCCGTGGATGTTCCTCCTCCTCCTCGGCTGCCGGAGTTATGTCCTTGGGGTGGAGGCTCGGATGCAACTATCGCGGGTTCCTCCTCCGGTCCCGGTGGCGTGCTGGGGGGGCGTCTCTGGAAGACGAACGAGGGACTACCCGGGATGTTCAGAATGTCCTCGGGCTTCGAAAGGGAGGCGCAGGCTTCGGAAATCTGCTGCATGATGGGGAGACGGGCGAAATCCATATCCCGGAAGTGTTTCCGGGCCTTGCACCGCAGTCGCACTGCGGACGTCTTCCCTTTCCTGTCCCTATCAGCGTACTTTTCGAGGATGGGCTGGATGTCCTCGGTCTTCTTCTGGGCCGCCTCGATGTCCAGAACGACCTTCCTCGCCCCCTCTCCATGGCAGGGTCCATGATGTCGTTTATCCCGAGGGCGAACTCGGTCGACCCCAGGTACAGTTGGACCCCTGCCAAGATGTACGTGTCCAGCCGAGACTTCGAGACACTCGTGGCCAGCAAGCTTTCTATCTCGAGGCGGTGGGTCAGCTCCACGTCCTTGAGCTCCGCCTTCGCCCTCGCAACCTCCTCTTCCAGGCGCTTCCTCTCTTCTTCTAAATGCGCTCTCCTCCCTTCCGAGGCCTTGAACATGACCTCCATGTCCCTGGCCCTGTTGGCCTCGCTCGTGGCCGTCCTCTGGGCCGAGGCCAGTTGCTCCCTCAGGCCCGCGCATACGAACACAAACGTGTTGACTGCCTGCACGGCCTGCAACAGGAACGTCCTAGGTCAGCGAGGGAACACATTTACGAGGAAAGAACCCTTGAAGTAAAAACAAAAGAACTCACCTGTCTCATGCCGTCCTCCAGCCTCATTGCTCCGGTCTCGGGTAACTCAGAACACTCAACCCGAGGAGGGTCGAAGGTTAGCAGAGCGTTGCCCGCGGGTATGTCCTCGAACAAATCGGTGCCCCGACCCGGGTCTGCATATCCTTCCTTCAGAAGATCGTCCAAGGAGGACAACTCATGGATCGATGGGAGGCTAAAGGACAGCGGATCCACCTCCACAACCTCCGAGGCCCCCCTCTTCCTCTTAAGGTGACCTGAGGATCGGCCAGAGGAGCTCCCCCTCTTGGAACCTTCGACGGGCGTCCTCGTCGTCTGCTCGGAAGAGGCCGCCCCCGTCTCAGGCGGGGTGACCTCTCGCGGCTCCTCTTCGGCGTACTGCTCTTCCTCGTCTGAATCATCAAAAGCCGAATGTTTGCCCATCAAATTAGCAAATACACCTATCAACAGAAAATAACCAGAGTTAGTCTTCGGGTAAGATACCTTGATTATGAGAGCTGATCCCGTCGCTTAGCGACGTAATTTGTCTATAGGTATAGGTCTTTCTCCAGCCGGCTAACTTCTCCAAGTCCCTCCTCCGGGTTTCAATATCTTTCTTGTCCTTCTTGGTCCACGGGTCCAAGGTGATTGTCCCTCCCTCGTCCGACGTCCACGGAAACAGAGAGACGAAGTTCGCGTCCACGTAGAAGAATCCCGACCTCCAATGCTTGGAGCTCTCGTTCTTCGCTACCAACTCCTTGGACGGTCCGTGCAGATTCTTAGTGAAGCTGAACCACCCGGGAAAGCTCTTCCCGTATCGGACGAGCTTGTAAAAGCACCTGAACAAGAAAATATCGGGTTCCACCCCCGTCTTGTTGCACACGTGCACGAAGGCCAGGACTATGGTTATAAGGTTCGGGGTGTATTGGGCCAGGGGTCGGCCGTAAGCCTCTACTATCTTCCTAAACATAGGCATCAAGGGAAAATGCAATCCGTATTCCAAAAACTTCTCGTATATCATAATCTTCCCCGAAGGAGGAGTGTTGGCTCTCTCATGGCCTTCGGGTAAGGTGGGGTTCACGGCCGTAAGGCTGTAATAGCTCTCCAACTCGCCCAGCCTCTCTTGGGTTAACGAACATTCTGCGTCCTCTACCCTAACTACTTCCTTGGCCATCTGATAAATCAAAGGAGCAAGAAAAGAAAGTAACTTACTTGTCTGCGGTCGGCTGAGATTCACCCCCGTATTTACGCCGGCTTCAATTTCGATCTCTGGGTTGGGAAGCGCCCTAGGTTACGAAGTACAACAGATTTAAGGAGAGAAAATAAAGCTCAAGTGTTTACACTTGGGAGAGAAAACAAAGGAAAGGAAATGAAGTTTTGTGTCCTATGGGGTGTATATATATCCCCCCCAAAGGATGCGAACAGTCGCATCGGTTACCTTTAGGCGCCATCATTGCAGCGCTTTGTTCCATGAGATCTTGGGCGTCCATCCCGTTTAAATGTAGAAGATCCCGACCGTTGGATCCATGGTGATATGATGGAAGAAGGCCCTAGGCTTTTGGGCTCTTTCGACTGGGCCTTCGGTCTCTCTGTGTCCAGCCCAACCGACTCCCCTGCATTGGACTGGACAGGGGCATTTGTTGGAGGTCATTTTTGACCATCCCGGGCCAGCCCAATCGGCCCACTAACTTGGGCTAACTTCATGGACCCAACTCGTCCATTTGGTTAATTCTTTTGGGCTCAAGTGATCCACAAAGAATTAACACATGTCTATTTACACTTTTGCCCCTCTTGACAGAGGGGTCCACAGGTATAGTCCCATTGGGGACCTATAAATACTCCCTGATTCATTTATTACATCTCTAATTTTTCCACACTCCCGCTTTCTCTCTCTAAGTGTGGTAACAAATTATCTCAAAGGACTGACTTGACCTTCGGAGTGCTAACTTCCTTTTTGCAGGTTCCAGTCTAGGTCGGGCCGTTGGCTTCGTTTCCGGGATTTACCCTCGACAGACATAAAATCTCACTGACAGTAAGAAAAATAAAGTAGCCAAACAGCTCAAACCTTCCTATGATAACTTTAAACCTTGTCCCTATCATATTGTATTATAACAACATTGTGGTCGTAACTGCGTTTATACTTTGAGATGACTTGAATAGTCGTGATAACTGAGGTTCTTCATTGATGACTTAAAAATATTGTCAAATTCTTTTGTCACTGAATACTATGATGACTTGTAAGTTGTAACAGATTGTCACTTTAATTATATTTTTAATGTTGTCACAGAAAATTGAGACGACTTTTCAGGTCGTAATAGAAGACATAGTTTAGTTACAACTTTTTTGTGACTGCGAAACAGGTTGTGACTATAGGGACTTTTTCTTGTAGTGGATCTAAACGTGTTGGAAATAAACCAAGCTTAAATAGGAAATATTATTTTAGATATAATTTGGTAATTATTTATTTAGTTTAGTTTTATTAGAATAAGAAAAGTAATAATATAAGAATAGTAAGTTCTTAATTATGGCAGGTTTTGATGGTAACATGGGTTATAAAAAGGATGTTAGAGTTTATTATTTGTTGAGGCAGTTTGTAGGGTTTTGATGATTGTAAGCCTCCACGATATTTGCTTTGATGAGTTGAGTAAAATTTGTGTTTTGTGAGATTTCCGCTGCGTTGATTTTGTTATTGTGAGTTTTAGATTTTTTTCGGTTCTACATCTGGCATCAGAACCGGTTTAAGATCCGGCGGAAAAGAAATCATTTTGTCGGAAAATTGTGAAAGAAGGTTCGGTTTAAATGGAAGAAAAAAAAGTAGTGGGGTAAAAGAGTTTTTGCCAGCAGTTCGCGAAGGAAAAAAATAAAAGGGGATGGAAAAAAAAGTAAGCAGTGCGGGTTTGTTTTTGTAGTGCGGCGCGGAAGGCCAAACTTGAGGTGTACTGTTGTTTGGGTTTGATTAATCAATTTAGCACTACATGTTTTTTATTAAAGCTTTGTTTTTTTATTGATCTGTGCTATCGATTATTTTGGTTTCTTCGTCTGGGGGACAAAAAAAATAAATAAATAAAAATTCTTGAGCTGCTTTATATTGTGGGTTGGTTTCGGCAAGTGAAAAGAAAAATACATAATTGCGGCACCGTTTTGGCCGTGGGAGTGAAAGGCTTTTGTGCATTATTTTAGGCACTTTGAAGTTTGTATTTTGTTGATTGATTATTGGTTTGGTTTGATTGTTGGTTTGTTCGCTACATAAAATAAATTATCTTAAAAGGAAGAGAAAAGAAACAAATTTGGCTTCGAAGGTATTTGAAGGAGAAATTTTGAGTAATGAAGATTGAAGGAGTTCTAGATTGTTGGAACATTGTGTGCAATATCCCAAAATTAATGGGAAAGCAAAATTATGATTATTGGAGGATTCAGATGGAGATTCATCTTCTTCGAGCTTATGGTTTGTTGCAATTCATATACAAGGAAGTACCACAAGATGCGGATGATGAAACTCATAGAAAGGTTAGTTTGACATTATCTTAGATTCAATGTTCAATTGATATGTCAATTTTTGGTAAAATATGTTTAGCGAAAACTGCCAAACAAGCATGGAATATATTGGAGAAAACCTATCTTGGTATAAATAGAGTTCAGAAAAATAATATGTTGAGATTGAAGGGAGAATTTGAGTCGTGTAGAATGAGAAAATCAGAGACAATTGAAAGTTACTTTTCTCGTTTGTTGGAAATCAAGAATGAGATTGAGACTAATGGCTATGTTCTTCTTAATGAAGTTTTTGTTGGTCATGTGATTGACACCCTACCGTCAGAGTATGATTGTGTTGTTTTTGTAATAGTGAAGATGAAAGATCTTTCATCATTGACTGTTGAAGGCTTGCAGGGTTTGTTGGTTTGCCCCCAGCAAAAAATGTATAAGAAGGATGAAGAAGAGGATCACTTCATAGAAGAAGTGTTGTGTGCTCAAATTGATATGAATTTGGAGCAAAATTCTTCAACAGTCAAGGGGGAGAAAGTGTTTGTTTGGTAGGACATGATTACAATGTGTGTCCACATGAAAAAGTTGATCCAATTGCTAGAAAAGAAGAAGAAAAAGAAATGTGGGAAGAAAGAAAAGAAATTGAACAAGAACAAGGAGGAGAAAACGAAGAAGAAAAACATTCATGTTTGGCAGTGAGAAAATAAGAAATTCATACTAATAATAATTGTGTGGAGAATGATAAAGGTGAGAATTTTGTTGTGGCAAACATTCTTGATTTGGCGAATGAAAGATTAGATACTTTGGCAACAGAAGAGCGAAAAATTCAAATTGGTGATGATGTTTGAGAGAAAGATGAGAATGGAGAAATTCTTGATGTGTTTTTTTGGTAATCAAGAAAATATTGATAAAGTTGAGATATGTGAGTTGAAGGAAAAAAGAAAAAACTGTATGAGTGAAGGTCTTGATAAAGTTAAGAATGCTCGTGAAAAGTTGTACTCCCTCCGTCCTAAAATTATTGTCCAGTTTGAGATTTGTTTTTTTAATATAACTTGAACTACAAATAAAAACCCAAACTGGACAATAATTATGGGACGGAGGGAGTATTTTGAAGATGAATGGGTTCATATGGATGAATTCTTTGAAAAAGATAAAACGCAAATACAATGCTTTATGAAGTATCAACAGTGCCGTGTTATGACTTTGATGATTGAGGAATGTTTCAACTTCAAGATGGTATTGCATGTGATTTACTCAGCTATGGAGATGTCATCCGAAATTGAAGATCGAGATGGCGTTTGAGATTGTTTTATGCAAGCTTGGTTTAAGAGTGGCTATGTTGGAAATAAACCAAGGTTAAATAGGAAATATTATTTTAGGTATAATTTGGTAATTATTTATTTAGTTTAGTTTTGTCTGAAAATTGTGAAAGAAGTTTCGGTTTAAGTGGAAGAAAAAAAAGTAGTGGGGTAAAATAGTTTTTGCCAACAGTTCGCGAAGGAAGAAAATAAAAGGGAACGAAATATCAATTTATTTCGAGGCCTTTTCGAAAAGAAAAATTAGTTTGAGGAATTTTTTCAATTATAATCATTTTTCCCTTCACCTGTTTGATTATTTGTTTGATTAACAAAAGTTATCTTCAGACCCAACACGAAAGTGCTAAATAGAAACTAATTAATTGGTACTTCCTCCGTCCCAGAAAAATAATGCAGTTTAAAAATGTACAAATTTTTTAATTTGGTCAACACATCAAATGTACAACTTATTTTATGCCCCTAACTTTCACAATGCCCTTTCAGTTATTTCTATAAAAGTTAACTATATATATGCATTTATTTTACAACTTAAATTTGATCAAAATTTTTATCTTAAAAAAATATTGACAATGGATCTTGATGGAAAGATCTCGTAAAGTAGATTAATTTGATATATAACACATTTTTTAATTACTCATGTATTAAAAATAATAATCATTTGAAAAAATAGGAGAAAAGTAGAAAAAAATAAAAATCAAAGGAATTGGACATTGTTTTCCTTACCACTACTCTTTTGGATATTTAAGTCATTTCAATTTAATCAATTTTGACTTTTGTAAAACTGGACTATTTTTTGGGACAAATTTTTGTATTAAATTGAACTATTTTTGTGGGATGGAGGGAGTATTGAACGCTTCCTTTCACTTTTGCTTTTCTGAACGTAAAACATTGTTTTCACAGCAATCGTCGAAATCTCGCAGGACACGAATTTCCAAGCAAACCATAGTTTTTTTAAATTAAATACTCTTCTTTTAAGATTAAAATTGAAATTACTTTCTAGTTTAAGAAGGGTTAATTTTTTCAATGGCATATAAGTTGACTTTCTTGAAGTGATTTATGCCCATAATAAGAATTTTAAAAACTTTACTTATTTAGGAATTTCAACTCTCAGAGCGCCTTTAATATGAATTTTCCAAATAATTTTGGAACAAGGGAGTAGTTCATTTCCAACGAATTGATTTTGGCAACCCGTATGTGTTGGAAGATCTTCCAAACGATATGGTCTATAAATATGAGTATGGACAAACATTAATTATTTAAAACGAAGGATATTAATTACTTTTTCTTAAGGAAATTAATTACTTGGAGTTGTTAACATGTATGCGAGAAAAAGTAAAAATAGAAATGAAAGGGCATTGCTCTTTTAAAATCCCACACC